GTGCTAAAGAGGGCCTTTCAGAGTAAGGAGAAGAACCATGTATACATTCACTGAAGCAAGACGATGCTTTACTGATCCCAGCTGGGTGGGTAACCCAGAAAATAGAGGAGAAATTCAAGAGCTATAAATAGAGCATTGAAAGGATAAAGTTTACCCATTTAAAAAATCTTTTTATCTTAATTAAATGTATCAACAAAATATATGCAATTATCTTTGATTAGTCAAATATATCACTTGTAAGAAATTAATAAGCAATGCTATCTAAAATCCAAGCAAAGATTAAGATTAGAAATCAACTACTGACCAAGTTTTGATCAAGTATTTTGGTAATGAGACTATTATAGTGTGAAAAGGAGAATGTAACCCAAAACATTAAGTCATGCTTAAGAATTAAGTTATGCAGGGCCTCCTCGGTGGCGCAGCGGTTGAGCGCTGGGTTGCGAAGCTGCCCGCGGCCTCTGCAGCACCGGTTCGATCCCCGGTTGCTCCCCGGCCACCGGAGGAGGGTCCCACATGGCGCGCAGACCTCTCCTGCTGCCCGCTGCTCCCCTCAGCAGTGTACTTCGTCAAACTGCCTGTTCTGCTCCCTGCTCTGGCTCTGGTGAATCCTCTCACCCTCCCGTGCTTCTGACTGTACCCAGTGCTTGTATAAATGAATAAATAAATCTTTAAAAAAAAAAAAAGAATTAAGTTATGCAGAATAATGTCCCACAAAAGATGTTCAGAAGCAATCCCCAGAAGTTGTAAATATGAATTTTTGTGATAACATCCTTTACAAATGTGATTAAACACCTTAAGGTGGGAGAGTAATATGGATTATCCAATGGACACAAAGTAATTATAGAATCCTGAAATTTAGAAAACTTCTTCCAGCTTTGGTCAGGGAGAGTGGTGACTACAGAAGAAAAGTCAGATTGAATTTTTCTGGCTTTACAGATGGACGAAGGGGAACATGGGAAACCTCTAAGAGCAAGGAAACAGATTCCTAAAACCTCCAGAAAGGAAGTCTTACAGATACCTTGACTTTAGCCCACTGAGACCTGCATCAAATTGCTGCCCTTCCCAACTGTAAGATAACACATTTGCATTGTGTTTAAGCCTCTACATTACATTTATTGCATTTACTCGAAAATTAAAACTATCATTTTTCAAAAATATATGAAAATCTGGCAAGATGCTTCTTGACTTACTGGTGAAAATATTACTAAATACAATTCAAATGCATGGTTACCTAAATTATTAATCACCATCAGGACAATTTGTACAAGTTATGATAAAGTGAGGTCTTTAGTTGACAGTCTCTGCCAACAGGCAAAAAAAATTATGATTTCTGAACATTATTTGGGGAGTCACATTTCCCTAGGGAAATGTTCAGTAGTCAATAAATTATTCCAAACAACCACTTGCAATCAATGACAGACATAGGATCAAATGTATCTGGGAAGGAATACTGAGGAATGTTGAAAGCATGGATTCTGGAATGAAACTGCCTTGGTTTGAAGGCTGGCTGGACTTACTAGTTCCAGGACTTTGTAAAGTTGCCTAGTCTTTCTGTTTTTTTTCAAATGCCATATATATAATAAGAGTGAGTTTGGGTCGTTGTAGAAATAAAACAGTATGTGCAAATGCACAGTGTCAGGCATATAAAATGGTCACTGTATGCTGGCTATGAAAATTATTAATTTTCCTGAAAAATATTTACATTGTTTCATTGTTTTGGACACAATTTCAGCTGTTAAATGTGATTATCTTGTGGAAAATATTAGATTAATGATAATAGTCTTGGAGTGTTCACCTAAGAAATGTATTTAGTTCTGATTATCAGCAAGTTAAATTCACAAAAATTGAATTTTATTGACTTATTATTAAAGTAATACTTAGTTCCTAATTTCAAGGTCAGAACAATTTTAGTGAATTTCTTTTTATTTTATCTCTAGCTTTTTTGTCTCTGCTCCTGTTGCTCTTTTTCTCCACCTTTCTTCATACATAAGTAAATAAATTACATCAATTAATAGATAGAGGCATAGAATATGTAGACTATGCACATATAATATCAACATTTTTCAAGTTTTCATAAATCTGTAGATACCTAGTTGTTAGAATTTTGTAATATCTCATTAAGTTTAAGTTCACTAAGCACTTATTAAAACTTAATTTTATAGTACTTTAGCACTGTATTTGGTGCCAATTTGAATACCCTTAATGTCAAGTTATCTGACATCTTAAAAATAAAATTGGTATGTTTTTTAAGTAAAAAAATGCTATTACTGAATTTATACTTAGGGGAAAAGCACTATTCGGTAGAGTGCAAGTAGTAGAAATTATGGTTAATTCTAGAAACTTTGCACAGCAGATAAAGATCACATTTCACAAATAATAAGTAGCAAGTCTAAAGTTAAGCTTTTATAAGAGTTTCTTTATATAGGCTTTAAAAATTGTGAATCCATACATTTTTTTTGGTATGTGCTCAGGCGCTGATATATTAAGTAATAGAATACTGTTGATTTTATTTGCTATCATATCAGATCAACTTGTAGTTATGCTCGTAGATTATTTTACCAGGTCCAGAGTTTACAGAAGCAGAGTATTCTGTCGGGCAGAAAGATATAGAAAAGTCTGCAAATTAATGTCATTTTCCTCCATTTTAAACTATGTAAACATTTCCCTCAAGTATGAAAGGAAAAGGCATTGATATTTATTATCACTAAATTAAACATGATAATTCGCTCAAGGAATGTGGTACATAGAAAGACCTTCCTCTTTAAGTATCTGGCTTAGGTTTATATCTATCCCCTGGGTTTTAAACTACATTAATAAGGAAGAGATGTGATGTTTAGATAGAAATTATCCATCACACAAGGGGAAAACCCAGATTATGACACAGATCCTGTACATTCTATGACTAACTTGACAGTTTGTTCAGCTGTCAACGCCACCTGACTTATCAAAATTTAACACTTTTCTCTCTTGTACCAGATATCATGAGTCAAGAACACTGTCCCTAAAACAATGTTGTACAAACAATTGTACTTGTATATATTTAAAAATGTATCATGTGTCATTTCTCCAAACATAATGAAATGAGCAAGAAAATGCATTTATCTATATTTTTAAAGATTTACTTATTTTTATACAAGAGCTGGGGTATAGGCCAGAGGCGTGGGAGGGTGAGAGGATTCAGCAGAGACAGAGTGGGGAGCAGAACAGGCAATCGACCGAAATACACTGCTGAGGGGAGCAGCGGGGGAGAGAGGAGAGGTCTGCCACGCCATGTGGGAATCTCCCTGGCCGGCCGGGAATCGAACCCGTGCTGCAGGGGCTGCGGACAGCTTCACAGTGCTGTGCTCAACCCGCTGCACCACCGGGGAGGCCAATTGCACTCATCTATTGACTTAAAACCTTTGAGATGGACCTGTAGTATAAAGAGATGGAGACACATTTTCCCCAGGGTAGAAATGGGGAGTTATTTTTTATGCTATTCCTTAAGAGAAGCATAATATCTGATAGCAGCTGAACAACTCTTATCACCTGTTTCAGGTATTTAAATTTACATTGCTCATTTTGCTCCATGCATAATATATATATTTATCCACCTCAAGCAAAAACAACATCAGAAGAAGGGGGGGAAAAAAAAAACAAGCTACCAAACCAAATTAAACCAGCAGGATTAAGCCAAATTTCAGTTGCAGCCAGCTTGATCAGCGATGTTTTATTCATCAATCACCTGCACTTACAGCAGATTGTTTACGCACAGATTTCAAGCATAAATAGCAAACGCACCACTTCGTTTTACTTGTGTAATATCATGGGTTAATGTGGTGCCCATTAGGTGTTCAGGTGCTGCATAAAACAACTTGCTATTAGTTATATGAAATGTTTTTTTTTTCCCAAATGAAAAGAATTTTCAGGTGTTTTAAGACATAATAAGGCAGATTATTTAAGTACTTAGGCTACTTTATGAAAATAACTTAGGTTTGACTGGAATCAGCATTAATGCATTTATGCCACAGAACCAATACTGATACAATTTATATATTTTTTCAAAGCTTATATGTTTTGAAACCTAAGTGTTTTCCTGGATTTCTTGAATTTTAGGGTATGGAGGCAGTAGAACGTCACAGTATAAATTATAAGTATGTGAGAAGTCAATTTATGACATTGGTCTTATATGACCAATGTGAAAATGTTGGAGGAAAAAAGAGCTCTGGGCCAGGGCTTAGGAGAAAGAGAGGAGGGATTCAGAGAGAAAGCAGAAGTGGACCTTGAAGGAAGAACCAGTGAATTTACTGCAAGAAAGAAGGACATTGTAAGGACAGGTCCCAGGTGGAAAGCAAGAAAAGGCAGGAAATTAAACAGTATGTAAAGCACAGCAGGAGATTTGGGCTGTTGCTCTGCACCTTGCTCTAAGATTTCTCTACCTTCAAGATGAACACCACATCCTTCCAGATCAGGGGAGGGAGACCTGGCAGAGTAGACATGACTAGGGTCAACTGTCAGAGAAATGTCTGGTTTTTAGGAAGCTTTGCTATCCACTCACACTTTGAACTTGCAGACATAAGCCCCTGGTACATCACTTTGGTGTGAAGGAAGTCCCTAACAACCCAGCGATCAAGACCCTGGGGTCTTGTGAACCAGCTGAAGACTAGAGTTATTAATTTAGAAAAGGACAAAAATCTACGTATTTTTTGGCTTCTGTTGCTAGATACCCCAACATGAGCTTCCTAGCAAACACTGGGAACCCTGAGATGATAAGACTATGAGCTTTTCTTGGTAAATATTCTAATTTTTCTCCTTCCAAAATTTAAAGTATATAGGATGCATGATCTCTACTGTTCATGCTCCTCAAATTTTGGGATTTTGACTTTGACTCCATGGAAGGAAATTGGCTTTGATTTTGGGTTTTAATTATTTGGTTATTTTAACTTTGGTTCTTCTGAGGTTTTTGTGTATGGACTTATGTTTTATTCTTACTTTTGATCTCTTTGCAAACTGTTTTGTAGGCAAATGTGTGGGTATGATGGACTAACAGCCTGGCTTCTTCAATGTGAGTAAAACTGCCTTTCACTTCAGCAGTGGTGAGAAGAATCTAGCCTCAAGGAATTAGGGGTTCTCTTCACAAAGCAGCAAAGAGAAAGCTCTGGATCTTTGTGAATACAAGTAAAACTGCAGTTGTTTAGAGTCCACGTGGGTTTAGTGAAAACTGAGGGATCCGTCTGTGTCTAAATATTGTATGTTTCTACATCTTTCCCCTTTGTATCTAATTGTTCTGGCATCCAGAGGATATAAAAATTGCTATGACGGTTCGTTTAGAAATATAATGGGAACCGTATAGGTGCTTCCAGGAAGTGTGATCTGGGATAATCTCTGGTTAACATGAAAACTAATTTTGAATTTAATGATTTGGGTTCAAACATGTCTGTCTTTGAAGTTTTGTTATCAATTTTAATGTTTTTTTTTCTCCTTTTTACCTGTGCCATTTCAGTTGGATATATACTGCAAAGAAGCGGCATCCTAAGGTGAGTTTGCTGAATTCTTTAAACTTGGGTAACATGGAAGTGGGAAATTAAGGTTGTTTTAAAGGTTAATGATTCCAATTATGGACTCACAATAATAAGTTAAGGTTTGTCAGTGTTGTGCTGGCTGAGGCTTGTTGGAGCTTTGATATCTGAAATTGTCAATGTTGGGTAATTAAATGGTCCCCCCCTGCAATATGTATGATAAAATTTCCCAGAAATCTAAATTAGGAAGAAAAAAAAAACTGGCATTATTGTGTTTGGCTGATTAGAGGAAATTATATGAAACTCTCAATAGAGCTCCTGAGACATCCCATAAAATTTCTCCCTGTCCTAATGGGAAAGACAGTAGATGAATTCGACCTGTAGGTGTTATCTGGTATACTGGACCTTAATGGGAAGCACTGTCACTTGAGGAAAATGTTTAGCAGACGTATGCATGTTAATATTGGCGGTTGAAAGCTTTTTTGTGAAACTTCTTAAGTATTCGATGTGTTCTGATGCAATGCTTGCACATTCTGGTTTTTATAATTTTAGCAAATCTCCTTGTCTATTATATTGTTATTCTAAAGTCTTGGCATGTATCGAAACTGTTCCAGGCGATGCCATGACGCTGCTGCAGAAGACCCCAAGCTGACAGTGGGACAGACCTGGATGGAGGGGCGGTAGGAAGCATCTATGAGCACAGGGCCCCGGGATGCTGGCAGTGCTCTGCGGGGCCTGGAGTCCCCCATCCATGTGCTGAGTGTAGGGGTGAGGAGCAAGCTGTAGCCCAGGTCTGGGGGTGATCGTGGGTGCTCTGTGTGCTCTAGTGTTTCAGGTGGCTCTGAGATGATTAGGGCTCTGGGGCTTACGCAGAAGGCTACCTTACAAGCCACGCTGCCAGGGGCCGTAGGGATGGGAGAGCTCAGTAGGTGAGGCACACACTACAGACTGAGGGGAGTTACGTGCAAAGGAGCTGAGGTACTCACAGGGGGCCAGGTCCCCTGTGAAAAGAACAAACATAATGTGTCCCCCACCCACTCATCACACTGGTACTAACTTTGCGCAGCTCACTGACAATGTGCAGTCTACAGAGGTTTGGGACTAGAAGCCCAGAGAGGAGGGGCCACAGGCATGAGGCAGTTGCCTGCCCCCCTCCTACCAGTATCTGTACCCTCCTTTACCCCAACTGAGATTTAAGATCAGATTGCTGACCTACAGAAGGCCAAAAAATAAAACCCCAATACCACCTGCTATATATAAAGAATTCAGAAGTAAGTAAATCTCTAAGTTACTGCTAGAGTCACTTTAAAAAGAAACAGGAGCCCCTCCTTGGTGGCACAAGACGTTAAGTCTCAGCACTATGAAGCTATCAGCAGCCACTGCAGCATGAGTTTGATCCCCAGCCAAGGAGCTACCCACATGGCACAGCAGACCTCTGCTGTCTCACCCGCTGCTGCCCTCAGCAGTGTTTTTCAGTAGATCTGCCTGTTCTGCTCCCCTCTCTGTCTCTGGTAAATCCTCCCCCTGCACCTCTGGCCTACACCCCAGCTCTTGTATGTATAAATAAGTAATCTTAAAAAAAAAAAGAAACAGGAAAAACAAAAGCAGCAAAATGGGCAAACAGAAAAATACAGCACATGACACCTGGACACCTCAAGGAAATACACATCACAAAGAGAAAACCACCTTCCAAAATGCAACCACAAACACATAGGCGGTTTTAGCTCCTATCAGAATTCAAAATCTCCATGATAAAGTCAGGAAACTAGATTTGAAGCTTTAAGAAAATCACAGAGGTACAGGACATAAAAAAGACCAATAGGAAAGATAAAATATTCTGGAAAAAGCAATAGAAGGAGAATAGATCAAATGGAAGATTGAATCAGTCCCCTCAAAGATAACAGTGGAAAAAGGACCCAGGTAGAAGTAAGAGGAATACAAAAATAAATAAATAAATAAAACATCCAGAACAAGTGTCACTGATGATGTGGAGTAAAAGGAAACCTCATGCACTGTTGGTGGGAGTGGACACTGGTCCAGCCCCTGTGGAAACAGTATGAAGTTTTCTCAAAATATTAAAAATAGATCTCCTATATGATCCAGCAATTCACTCTTAGGTATCTACCCAATAAATGTGAAATCTCTACTTTGAAGGGATGCATGCACTCCTATATTCATTGTAACACTGTTTACAATAGCCAAATTGTTGGAAGGAATCCAAGCACACACAGATAGATGAGTAGACTAAGAAGATTTGGCATATATATGTGATACGCACGCGCACGCACATACATACACACACACACACACACAATGGATTACTACTCAACTACTTGAAAAGATGAACTCAGGGGCCTACCTGGTGGCACAAGGGGTTAGAAGCAGCACTGTGAAGCTATCTACAGCCTCTGCAGCATGAGTTCAATCCCTGGCCAGCTCGGGAGCTACCCACATGGCACAGCAGACCTCTCCTGTCTGCCTGCTGCTCCCCTCAGCAGTGTATTTCAGTCAGTCCACCTGTTCTGCTCCCCACTCTGTCTCTGATGAATCATCTCTCCCCTTCCCCCTGCACCTCTGGCCTATACCCCAGCTCTTGTATGCATAAATAAGTAAATCTTGAAAAAAAAAAAAGATGAACTCAACATCTGTGACACCATGGATGGAACTGCACAGGCTCATGCTAAATGACATAGGGCAGCAGAAAGACAAATACCAGGTGGCATCACGCATATGCAGAACAAAGAGAAACAAAGCAGAGTCAGAAACACCATACCAAAAACAAACCCTAGAAATGACTGCAAAACGAATTCTACCAGAGTGGGGAGGGACAGGGCAAAGAGGAAAGGAGGGAATGGGCCCCATGGACTAGGTGGGAGACTGTTTGAACTAGGGTGGTGAGTGTGGTGGGGTGACATACACCTGAAGAGATGGGACCCTGTTTTTCTGAATTGCACACAATGTTATCAACCCGCACTTTAAAAGAAAATACTTCATCTATATGTATGGGGAATATAACCAAAATGAAAATGCATACATTGTGCAAAGATGAAAGAAGATGTAAGAATTATATAAAATAAAATATTTAAATTAAAAAATTACTTCAAAAAAGATCTATACCTTTTTTTGTGAACAAGTAGACTACATTGCTGCTCATCATAAAAATTTAATGTATGCTCACTATACTTCTTAAATTTTTTTAACTAATTTAAAAGGTGTAATACTAATCAAGCTATTTTGAGATGGAAGAAGGGCATCCTTTACTCTAGGAATCATTTTCTCTTTCAGGAAAGTGACGGATAGAAATAGGTGATCTCTCATCTCTTTTCAATCATGACACCTCCATATTCTATGTCAAGTGAAACATTCAAAGGAAACTGTCCCAAAGAATGATGACATGAACTACCCATCGTTTTTCACTCTTATGACCTTCAGAAGTGTGGAAAAGTGCAAAAGGCATTGGAATAGGTATTGGGACACAAGAGTTTTCATCCCAGCTCTGCCACTGGCGAATCTCATGATAGGAGATAGCACCTTCACGTCCAACAATCTCATTTAGAAACTGTGATGACTTCAAATTGTCTTTCTCATAAATTACAAATTTCATTGAGATAAGTTGCTCTTAAAATGAATCTTAACAATAATTAGAGCCAACACACAATAAAAACATCTCAGCAAACAAAGGACTCTGTAAAGTCTTCAAATCTTGATTTGTTTTTCCCTTTTTGAAACGTTGAGTGAGTTATGATGGCCACTTGGCATACTTGAAGCCCTCCAAATTGTCAATTCTTTGCTCTTTCCAAAGCTCTGAAGGTCTGTTTTCTGTAAAATGTTTGTTTCTCTCAATTTGTAGCTCTCTGTAGGGTCCCACACTCAGAGCATACAATAGAAAATACAAAGAAAAGTGAATAATCTTACTCAAAATTTATTACAAATAGCAATTTAGAAGACTCATTATCACAGTATGAAACATAAAAAAAGGATCATAATCAAAGAATGTGAGAAAAATGTAGAAAATGTGTGGGTACATATCTATCTAGCTATCTCAACATCTGAATTCATGATGTTGTGCTCTTCATGCGTGAATCAATAAATACATTTCTGCTCTCATTTACCAGTGTGTTATTGGAATGACACTACTGTATAAATACTAATTAGAATTAAATCATTAGAAATGAAATGTGCCCAGCATCTTCTACCAGTCTGCTGTAAATGAATGGGCTCAAATAGGTTAAAATGCATCAACCTTTGTTTCATACTTTTACAGGGTTTTGTAAGACAAAAGTATGGGGGGACGTCCCCTAGGCTTCAAAAGACCATGAAATCTATTGAAGTTGGTTTCCTGCAAGTCGAATAAAAGGAAAAAGCACCCCTTGGTACTCATGCATAGCTGAGTTGGTTGACTGAGCCAATTCTAATTTTTCAGGGCTGTTGAACTCACTAGGGAGGACATGGCCAGACAGATAAAGTACAGAGGATAGTCTCTGCATCAGATTCAGCAGAATCTAAGTTACCTGGAGTGCCTCACTCAGGCAACCCTGCCTCCTTGAAAGTATGAAACTCCAGCCTTCTCCCACTTGGAGCAACAGAATCTTCAGGTCTGTGCAAGCCTGACCTTCCAAGGTTTTTCCATGGAAGTTGAGAGGCTTTGAAGTTTCATAAATCTGTGGAAAACTTCCATGCATTCCACAGACAAGGCAACCAAAGAGAGAAATGAGAGAGCAGGGGAAGCCGGGAGAATGGACTTAAAAACTGGGAGGGTTGAATGTCCTGAGGAAAGTTCACCGGTCTTTGTCAGGGATTCCCAACCTGGGCTCTCTTGACTTTTGTGGGGGTGACTAATTTTTTCCTGCAGGTCTGGAGTGTGTGTTTGTAGGATACCAAGCAGCATCCCTGGCCTCTACCCACTAGGTGCCACTAGCACTCCTCCCAAGAGATACAAATTAAAAATATTTCCAGATATTGACAAAAGTTCCCTGGCGTGGGGTAGAGGGTGGAGGCTGCAAAATATCCTGTGGTTTAGAG